TCATTTTTGGAATTGTCAGGCACAAGGCACAAGGCACGAGACACTAAATCCTGTGCATATTGCCTTGAAATATTGGTTTTCAAATATTCAAGGAAAATTTTATCTTTTAACCCAATTACATCGACCCGAAATTGAATGAAATGTCTCACATATGCCCTTATATCTAAAATACTGGGATAGAATCCACTGGTACGGGCGAATAGGATTTTGAGAATGAACTAGCAGCGGTTTGTGCTTTATCTCATCCACTCTAGTCTCTACTCGTTCTTATTGCATTAGCGAAAGATCACTAACAAGGAAATAATTAAGAGCCAAACCCTTTCGTCAGAATTGCCTGATTAGTCGGCGTTGTTTCACAATTATTCGTCTCATTGACTTGGTGAAACAAATTATTTCAACTAATTTTGAATCCATTGATGGATTGAAGGCATTCCCATTCTGAGCAATTCAGACTTGACCAACTGTTCTGTTTTGTTCAACCACATGATTACCACTTCCATATCATTAGTCTCTCCTTCATCAATAGGCGACAGCACATCTACAAAATGGATGGAACGAATAATTCATTTTTACGGTAATATCTTGCATTAGAAAAATTCATTCCAATAATAACTCTTGAATTCTGATGAGTGGAGAAAACAGGATTAGCTCTGCAACTCATTTAGGTCCTGAGTGAATCTTTACTTGGGGATAGACACCCAACGATTATCTGCGTACCTATGATTTCATTTATCGGCGGTTAAAGCCTTCAGATCATTTATGCCAATAACTAAAGGACGAAGACCTATCATGAAATAATGAGTACTGGGGATAACCATTCTGGACTCCTGGACGTAATGGATCAGAACGCAATTTCTTGTAACCACGATCATCCTCATCGCTTTATGCTTTCGACACTAGAATTTTAGCTTTTACTCCATTTCATGCGCCACTATCAACATGGCTGTCGATTCTTCCACGGAATTTATAGCAATATCGCAAGTAATCCTAAAGCGCTGGAATTAGATAATTAATTTTATTATTAATTATTGGCAGATGCAACATTTTCTCCTAACGATTTCTTTTCCAATGAAATTTCAATCATAGTGGTAACAAATTTCTCTTCATCACTTCCGGTTCTCCTGATAAATCTCCTGATAAATTGAATAAGAATGGGCAGTGGGAGTGCAATAAACAATAGATTTTTCAAATGTATTTAATAACCTTTTTGAATTATTAGATTATTATGGATTATACCTGTCGAAAATTTTCCTGCTGACGATTTCCCGCGGATAGTATGCCACTGGAATTATTACACATTTTTTGTTCGTTCAGCCATAATCACTTCAGCTCTGTATCGCAAACAGTTTCACAAATAAGCACTTTATCCTCTCCATTGGTAACTTTCACCGAATATGCGAATAGTGAAATGTAGAGTGCCGGTGATTTTTCAGTGCACAATTGCAATACCAGGAGGTTCACATCCAGTCGAGCGATGGGTTCAATTTCACATTGAACACATATCTGATGTGAATTCCAGGAGTCCCATGGGGTCTTCCTCCAGTGTGATAAACGATCGCAATCAACCGCGTCGCAAAATTTCACGCCACTGGTCCCACATTTTTCACAACAAGTTTGAAATTAACGGTCCGATAAAACGAGTAAAATACTCATAAACTGTTAAACGAAAGAAAGTGGTGTAAAGTTGCGTTCAATTATTAGTTGAAGGATTTAAAATCCAGCACGTGCCGTAATGACCCAAACAAACTTCAACGAGCATAATATATCCTCTAGAATATACTGATAATTCCTTCATGACAATTATATAAAATGTACAAGTACTTTCTGATTTGCAAAAACGTGAGATATTGTCGCCACCAATTAATTCCAAGTTCTGTCGGTGGTGATAGTTGAGTTACGATATGAATGACAGAGATAGAACTCGTAATATGATTAGAATATGTGGTGTTATCAGCGTGAGTGTACACGGGGTACTGAACTGCGGTTTCCCCGCTCCTTGACGACTACTTTTGCTCTGTTTCAACGTTAGCTCTCTGTACTGAACAGTTGAACATGTATACGTATAAAAATGTGCGTGTCGACTCGACAAGTTAGAGGTGGAGGGACAGGTGCCCCTGCTTCTGTCGGTTGCCATTTAGCTGACTGACTTAACTACATGAACGTAAGAGTAATTCAAGTCTGCTCTTCCTCACTGTGTTATTTGCGAGTGAGAGAGTCGCTCATTCACTCACGTCCACCAAAGGATCTCTCACGTATCGTTTAATGATTTAGTCGATTGGATTTTAGCTGACCGCACCAATTGGTCTTAAGACGCCTCCCACCTACAATCAATCCATTTGATACATTTTTTGTCATAATATTTTTTCTATTTATCAAAATCGAAAATAAATGTGGGAGCGACTATTTTTCCTCTTTTCCGAATTTTTATTTTCATCTTATCCATTCGAGATTGTTCAATTCAACATGAAAACAGGTGGAAATATAGAATTTATTTATCATAATTTTTTTTATCACTGAATCGGAAGGAGAATAGATCGAAGAATCAAGTGGGCGTCCACTCGGAACGTAAAATTAATTCCTCTTATATCCGATCCATTTTTTATAAGAAATCAAACTCCACATAAATCCTTCTGTCACTCACTCTGCCTGTCTGCATATATATAGCAACAATTGGTGATTATACTGAGATTTATGGTGATGTATCCACACACGAAGGTGTGTGTCACGGATAACTTTCAATTATATTGTTGGAGTTGCCAATGGACAATCGGCACTGTCACACATTCGACTCAGACATGACATGTCCGCAATGATGTGTCATTCATCATAAATTTTTAAAGAAAATACTGACAAGTTCATGCCCTCCCACGAGCAGTCTGTGGCACTGAGTAAAATAAAAATCCCTCGACAAATCGAGGTACACATTATTTGTATTTGCTATTCGTATGTATTCGACGGTTAACGAAATTTCACAGCTGGAAACATTTCTAATTTCACAAAAGAGATAAACTAACCAGAATGGAAAGGTATCATTATTTTTTTTTTGTTTTATCGATAGAGAATCTCATTTGAATCATCAAGTATAAATAACGAACAACGATTCTGGAAATTGATGCAGCCCTTGTCAGTCGTTTCTTAACTGGACAGATCCCTCCCATTATAAAACTATTTTTCCACACCACTTCAGTCCCTTTTCATTCCTTCACACCTAACGTGCGAGAGTCATAACGTGATGGTATCAAACGGTCGCCCAGGGCGTTCCGAGAGAGTCCTCTACCACCCGTTGCTCATCACGAACAAGTATTCTGAATCAGAAACAATCTAAATCCCTTGAAAAAAAATTGCGGATCATCAACTCCATGATTTTACATTCTCATATTGATTAAAAAGGAAATCCTCAGGATCAAACCTCAAGGAATCGTAATTTACGACATGTCTGGGTATAATTTACGGGGTTTTATCTGGTAATTTACGTTTTCAAACTCGTATTTTAAATATAGTGTTTTCTCGATGTATTTAATTCAGGAAATTGATTATCGTAGGGAAAAATCTGGAATGATTTTGAAAACACGGATTTTAAAGAAAGGGAAAGGAGAAATGAAAGGGAGGGATTAAACCCGCTTGGGTTTCTTTAGATTCATCACTTTGAGGGTCTATGCAAATCGAAAAGCTAATATACGTAGGTTTCAAAGGCACCGCGTTCAAAAGGGTCTCTTTTGATGACGTGAGAATTGGATAAAGCTGAAATTTCAGACTGTTCGATATTATTTCCTCACCTTTGAACGGAAGCAATTCTCATCTCTCCCTTAATTATAATTTTTCCACCATTTATCATTCAAAAACTAACGGTACAATGAATTCATGTAACTATTTATTTAACTTGAAAATTTCGTGGAATTATTTAAATTTATCTACAAATGTCGAGGGAATTGATGTTGCACACAGTAAAAATGGAATTCAATGAACATTTCCATTTCACTAGATTAAAAATTGCGCAAAAATTACATGCACTTGTGCTGCCAATCAAATTGTTCATCGTTATGACATTTACAGATATCATGTTAATAAATCTGCTGGGAAAAAAATGCAGACAGATCTATTCACAACAGCAGAATAAAATCCACATTTTAGTTATTTATAACTGACGGCTTTACCACTCATTCTTAATAATCATAATTACAGATCATAACACCTTTAAACTCCCTCTAATCCGTCACATTACTCTTCACAACTGTACGTCTCTTTATTGGTGCAAGTGTTGCGTATAATTGTATAAGTTAGACGTAGGACTGGGTTCGTTCTATGAATTAGAGATAATTCTATGAATTAGACGAGCAGAAAATTATCACTGCAGAATGGTTGAAGTTTTGTTCCCACGATTTGGCAAATGTACCCAGACGAGACAAGTGGTCGAATCCAGACAACTGTCTTAATAATCATAAAGAGACTGAATATTAAAATAGACGAATAGTTCATGGGTTCAACTAACGTAATTAATGCACGCCATTATGTCAAGTGACAAATTATTCCAATGGCTTTAAGCAAATGACTTCATCTTCCTGGAAGAAATTGCGCGGTGCAAGTACAGTGGATTTATCGAATACATTGAGACGAAATTTTAAAATAAATAATATTTTAAATAATTCAAACAGAATTTGTACTTATCGACTGTTATTATTGTAAGTTGATAAGGTAAATTCCAAATATTTACGCCGCAATAAATTCTTCTTTTTTCCTGCGAAAGTATAATACAATTAACATTTTCAAGCATTAAGATAATTTTTATAGCATTCCCGCTGTCATAGGGATCTATCCACTGGGTGAATGTTATTTTCTGCGTTACGAAATTGGTATTCAATGCCTGTGGCGCCCTCCCTCTCTTGGGGTGAGTACTACGATGCCTCAGGGGTCACTCCAACCCCCAGAACTGAGTCTCTACTTTAGTCAATGCTCTTTGGTGAAAACCTTGATAAATGAATTTACATGGCATCTGTTGAAGATAACAGGAACTCTAATACCCTAATGTACTTTATCATTACAAACCAGGAAAACTCAAAAAACGTCTTGCACTTGGAGGTTAGCGATTTTTCCACTACACTTTGTGCTGTATAAACTGCAAACGAAATCTTCGCACTTCGCCCGAAAAATATCAGTGGGACACCTTAAAAATCTTCTAATAAATCTGAAGTAAGGTAGCCAAAACAATTAAAGTTAAGAAATCAAACTGTCAACATTGTTTTTATTATCCAACCTTCACTTAAATGTCTAATAACCATCAATCCTTTATATACTCCCATTCAATGTCAAAGGTTGAATAAAAAAATCAATGATCAAGCATAACACTTGCATAACAATGATACTTATCGAGAAGAAAATGATCAACTAAATTTTAAAAAAATTTCAGATGACGTGGTTGGGAGACATCGCGAATAATGTCTTCGGAAAAATGATGTTTGGGGATACCCCGCCGAATGTAGTTTTAGAGGTAAGAACAGATAAATATGGAAATCGTCCGATAGATTGTCGTGAAGATGGAATCGTGCTGTACGGTCCTGGTGGGGATAAATGCACCGATAAGTATGAGATCATCCTTCATCGTCCCTGTGATGAAACATTACATCAAGCTTACAGTCTCTTTCGTGCTGATAATTTTGAAGTGGCACAAATGAGGTTTATAGTATACAAAGATCACATACCCCCACTTGTGCACATTTGCAAGGAATTATGCACTGTACCCAGAATTCAAAAGGTTTGCGACGCCCTGTCAAACCATCCAGATTGGACACTCGCTCATTTAGCTGCTTATCTGGCCTTGTACGACACCTTCCAACATGCAGTTGTGAATAAAGATCTCAACAGTCCTGCGTCATCATCAGGAATTTCTCCCCTTCAAGTGGCAATCCAGACGAATAATCTCCAAATGGTTCAACAACTTCTCAACGCACAGGGATCTAGAGAACATCTCGACTGGAATGCTAATACAGTTTACCATTATGCAGCTTCTTCAACTAAAGAGATAATATTTGCACTTGGATGCGATTTTCCAAATATTCTGAACAGCAGAAACAGTGCTGGACAAACGCCGCTCCACGTGGCTTGCCAAAGTGACAAACCTGACTGTGTTAAAGCTCTTTTGATGATCGGTGCTGATGTCAATATATCAGCATTGGAGAGCACCAGGAATTGTCCAAGCTACGTTGGCGATCTCCTCAACAGCAAACCCAATTCTCTAATTGCTGAAGACATGAAATCCGGAGGAACACCTCTACATTGGTCTTCAAGTAGAGAAGTCGTTAATGCCTTAATTGAGATGAACTGCGACATTGACGCCCTGAATTTCGATGGAAAAACTGCTCTTCACATTATGGTTATAAGAAAGCGATTGGAGTGTGTCGTTGCTTTACTGAGTCACATGGCATCGGTGAACATAGTGGACAACGACGGCAACTCTCCCTTGCACATCGCAGTGGCAAAAGGTGGCACCTTAACAATTGTCCAGATGTTGCTAGGCTTTGGAGTAGATTTGAATTGTAAGAATTTCAAGGGTGAGACGCCTCGACATCTCGTCGACATAAAAAATAGTGAGGGAGAGAAGATTTTATATGCATTGCACGCAGTTGGAGCTGATAGATGCGGAGCAGATATGAAAGATTGCACACTTGGCTGTAAGTTTGATGAAAATTATAATGGCGTTGCACCACCCGAGCCTCCAACTTCAGTCCCAAGGACAATATTAGATCAGATGTTATATGTTTCCAGCATGGAACAAATGGCCTTCAACAAGCCTAAAAAATTAAAAGGTGGCAGGTTATTATGTCTCGATGGTGGAGGAATTAGAGGTCTTGTTCTTGTTCAAGTTCTGATAGAGATTGAACAAATTCTAAATAAACCTGTGATAAATTGTTTCGACTGGATAGCTGGAACATCGACTGGAGGCATTCTAGCATTGGGAATTGCCTCTGGAAAAAGTCTCAGAGAGTGTCAGGCTCTTTATTTTCGTATTAAACAAGATGCCTTCGTCGGATCTCGACCCTACAGTAGTGATAGCCTTGAAAAAATTCTCAAGGACTGTTTAGGTGCTCATACAACAATGTCAGAAATCAAACATCCAAAGCTTATGATAACGGGAGTTCTTGCTGATAGAAAACCAGTCGATCTCCATTTATTCAGAAATTACGTATCTCCAAGCACACTGCTTAGTGTTCCCCAAAGCTCAAAATTTCAAGATACCTTACCGCCTGAAGAACAACTCCTCTGGAAAGCAGCAAGAGCCACTGGAGCAGCTCCCTCATACTTCAGAGCGTTTGGAAGATTTTTAGATGGTGGATTAATAGCTAATAATCCGACCCTTGATGCTATGACTGAAATTCACGAGTATAACTTGGCGTTGAACGCTGTAGGGTGTGGAGATGAAATGACTCCATTATCATTAGTAGTTTCAATTGGTACTGGAGCTGTGCCAGTTTCTCCATTGAAGGATATTGATGTCTTTCGTCCAGAGAGTCTATGGGATACTGTAAAACTTGGTATGGGTATCTCTGCTCTTGGAACTCTTCTGGTGGATCAAGCCACCTGTAGTGATGGCAGAGTAGTCGATCGTGCTAGGACATGGGCATCTATGACTGGAGTCCCATACTTTAGATTCAATCCTCAGCTCTCCAGTGAAGTCTGCATGGATGAAAAAAATGACGAAATACTTGCTGACATGATATGGACGTCCAAGGCGTTCATGCATGCTAATAGAGAACAAATCAAGGAACTTGCGGCTGTCATAAATAGAGAACCTTGAATTTCACATATGTTGGGATAAAAAATCATTGTAATGATAATTATTTCTCCCGGAAAATGGCACATATTCTATTTACTGCAGATATTTATGTAAAATCATCTACCTCCGAAGAGATCTGATGTATAATTGTTTTCATAGCAACACGTTAAGTATTTTCTGCGATATTAATATTGTATGGTTCTCCGAAATAATCTGTATATAAGTGTATATGTAGTAGCCGAATTCTTGGAGCTATTCCTAGTCCGATTTGTTTTATAATCATTAATTTGACATTAATTGAATTAATTTTCTCTGAGTAGAACTCTACGGAAATTTTAATTTTATGCAGTAGTTCGGGATTTTCTAATTCAAATTGCTATTTTTTTAGAAGGATGAGCAAATGTCCATATTCTCAATCAGTGATTATATTCTTTTAAAGAATAACGTTACGTTAGATATGAAATATATAAAGCCAACTTATAATTTATCCGTCTTCTAATTATTTCTTCAATCTTAATATAATTACGTACCGTTTATAAGGGATGGTAATTATTTTGAGAATTTTCTGATTACTCTGCCCCAAAAGATGAGTGATGAGTCATGCATGATTCAACCATTTTATTTTTACTCCTCCAAATTGACTATTCATTGAATTTGCATCATAATAGATGAAATTCAAAACCCAATTTATTTGGTACAGGTTTTGACACTAAGGATGAGACAGAATATTGATGAAAATTTTTTAGGATTGAACAATCTTTAATCAAAAATCATAGGATGCTTTTGAGTAATAGTAATATTTTCTTGGTAGAATCGACATTGCATAAATAAAAATATAAACTCAGATGATAAAAGCTGATGGATGAATACACCATTCGACGCATTCTAATAACATAAAGGTATTTCCCTGAATTTGGTGGTATGACTCAAAAACGTCATGCATTTACCCGAGAATAATTTCCTCCGTTGCATTTTCTGCATATTTTTATTAAAACCCAAAGATTTTGAAATAGTAATTAAACAAGTCCAAATCGTAAATTTTCCATTTGCCATTTCAAATCCCGGAGTTTCAAAAAATTCACGGCGAAATCAGGACTGTGTTATCAATTTTGTATTTCCAATTATCTCTCATTATTAATTGAAGAAATCAATCAAAGTAATAGACCCTTGGAAAAAAAAAATGTTCATCGCTTGAGGAATGCACTGGGATATCCTTTAATGTTGTCGGTAAAATTTCCGTGTGGAATAATTCCGTTGGAAATTAGCAAACACAATTGTTCAGAAGAAATTCCATGATTTACCTTTGTATTATTTAGAAAGAATGAGATAATGAATTAATGCACACTATAATATTTACTGTGATACGTCATTATCGAGGGCCCATGTAATAAGGTGGTTGCGTCATTGAAGCGGAGATGTACGGATAAAATGAATGAGCCGTAACACTCTGACTTTGATAGTCATTATCTTCATGAACTGAATAGGGCTCTGGAGCGGGAAAATATTGGCCATGTACACATGCGTATGATTTTGTGGTAGCAGGCATCTCTGAATATTTCAAACTCTCCTGATATCCCTTGGCCTCTGAATACTTGGGCAGAGTATCGTATGCCTTCATCTGTAGCTCTGGATACCTAGCACCAGTCTCGCAGTACTTGACATTCTGAACCTCGTGACATTTGGGGTCAGAATAATTTTTCGGTGGTAGATCATACTTGGGTAGAGTTTCGTAAGTCCGATTCTGGTGATCAGAACATTTTATTGTATCTACGTATGATTTTGGAAGTTCGTAAGGCTTTGAGTGGTCTGGATAGGGGACAGAACGCTCATAGCTTTTGGTGCTGATCTCTGGATAAAGTCTGCTATAACTGCAGTCAGAAGAACCAGGAGAATCTAGGGACACTGTAGCCTGAAGACTACTCCTGTGCGCCAGTATCGTCATCTGATCCTCAATCTTAGGCTTTCTTCTACGTGGTTGATACTGGTAAGAACAAAACCAAAATTAAATTTATTTACTTAATTACGATCAAAATTAAAGGTCAATAAAAAATTATTAAACTTCTTAATACGATTGCCAGATCCAATAAATTATCGTAGAATTGAATACCTTGTAATGAGGGTGTTGTTTCTTATGTGCATTTCTCAATCTCTCAGCTTCCTCTATGAAGGGTTGTTTTTCTCCATCAGTTAAAATTCTATAAGTACCAATTTTTTTTTTTAATTAAGAATTCCAGCTATCCTTCATTTCTTACGAATAAATCTATTCCCTGAAATGCCATTGATTGAAATGATAATTTCGCATGTCTAATTAAATTTTAATTAAAATTAAAACTAAAGTTTATTCTTAAGCAGTAAAGAAAAGTAAAGAAAATTGAAGAGTCTGGAATATAATTGGGAAGCTGCAATTATCTTGAGACCGAAATTCAACAAAGGTGTAGCTTTTCCGTGCGGACTTCCACAGATTTGTCATCTCCATCCAGTTTTAACGTGTGTAAAATTGATAAAGTCATTATTTCCCATGAAATTACCTCCAAAGTTTTCCCAAAGTCTTGGATAACTCCGCATTATGGAGCTGTGGATACTGATCTGCTAATCTTCGTCTCGCCGCCTGTGCCCACACCATAAAAGCATTCATGGGCCTTTTTACATGAGTACTTCTACGTCCTCCACCTCTAGAAGTAATCGGAAGTAGCGTCCAATTGTATCCTTAACAGAGAGATTGAAAAAAAACGAATTTTTAAAATACAATCTCTTCACCCGAAATATGCAATGTTTAATTTTCTCTCTCTATCTCAGCTCTCTCCTGTTATCTCATTCTTTACGCACGAGGCTGTCGGTATTTACCGGAAGCAAGGATGGAAAATACCACCACGATAAATAGACACCTGCATCCTCTCGTGAGACTTGTACACAGTTGGTAAATGTATATAGGAGTGCCTTTATCATCTTTTAGTGAAAATAAAATTTTTATGACTCTACGAATCTGAAACTGTTGTACGAATCGAATTGTGAATCGCAAATTTGATGAAAGAATAATTTGTCTGTATTACCACGCAATAATTACGGGGAACTTTAAAAATTTCCAGCTCATCCCGTAATTTTTCACGGAATAACGAACCTCCCACGGTATCATCTGTGAATGTCTCGATTACGAACCTATCGATTACAATTGCCAAAAATATACTGTTTAATTATCCTTTACAATTACAATCGTTTATGAAGCCTCCACTCTCAAGCTATGACAAACGTGGAAAAATGTCTGTACACTTATACACTAGAATTTTTATGTTTTGTCAAATTTTAGCAATGTCACGGTGAAACTCGCCAGCGGCTGCGCCACTCACTGTTTCGAGGCGCAGACTGTTTAATTACTCATATCTTCATAAGTAATGACTTTGCGAAAATTTTATTTAAACAAAAGATACAGTATATCAATGCAGTACCACTTTTTGTTTGGAAAGTTTTTCGATACCTTCGATAGATACACTGGAAATTGTAAAAAGTAATTGCTTGATACGATTTTCGCAAAAAATTTTTTTCCTTTTTACAGTAATTCTTTTTTCGGAGTGAACCAGACATAATCCTCACTCATAAACAAATAACCCGCATAGAAAAATATCATTAAAAAATATGTAAATACCAATTAAAGATATTTTTCAATACATTATGGAAAATATAAACTTTTCCACACGTGGCACGTGATGTCAAGCCCATGAGAATTCTATATTTCAATCGGTTCTTTTTCTTTTTATATTTTTTAGGAAAAAGGGAGCATTCATTCATTATTGAGCGATGCGACCAGTAGAGAAACGAGTAGATGATGAGTGTCATACATTTATGCGAATACGGAACTGAAAGTTGAAGATTTTTCGAGAAAGAAACAAGGGGACCGGACAAATAGGCGAGTCTTGTCTTCAGAGTGTGAGTGCAAGACTAATTGCCACATTGAAATTACAATCATTAGTAGGTTTTTGGTTAAGACACACGTGGTGGAGTGTCAACCCACGGAAGGACTTTTTTTTAGGGAAGTAGTAGCTAATTATCGTGGTGACACGCTCCGAATGTGCGGCTTCTTAAGTCGGCATTTTATTTTTTCTCATTGCTGAAGGTCCTTTTCCCCTCTACGACGAATTGCGGAGAAGTTATTCGAACGTCTAGGAATAAATTTCTCCGGATTACAATGATCCGAAGGGGAGCGAAAAATAAATAAAAAAAGGGGGCAGAAGCAAAAAGCGCGATGAAAAAGAAAATTACAAAATTTGGGCTCATTTTAGTGGCTAAATAACGGCTAAATCAGTCAATATCAAATTAAAGCTATAAAGACGGAACTGTCCTTAAATATACGGGCTTCTTGTTCACATAGAACGGGAGTAAGTAACGCAGATAGTTTGCTCAAAACGATGGATGAGTGTATGTTTGTACTTGACCATTTGTTTGCTAATCAGTGACAACCTGTCGTCAGTTCTCAGTGTATTAACTTTTTTCCCGTCAAGCCCATGAACCAGTGAATGGACAGACACCCCTTAAACTCCGCCACTTGCGATAAATTGAGTGATTTATTATATTTTATCAACTTATCCTGATGAATGATCTCACGAATTAAACAATTCATTGAACTAAACCCTGAATATGAGCCAATTAGGTATTTGGAATTGATACAAAAATTTTGAAATAAATTACATAACTGAAAAAATAAATAATAAATAAAAAATCATACAAATTTGTCATAAATTTTCATAATCACCGGTATCATTAAAATTGACAGTCGAATAATGATTTCACAAATTTTCGTGCTCCCCACTTGAACAGCTAGCATCTATAAATTATGTCGTCTCGCGTATTGCCGTCCACGACAAGATGTGTCAGATTTAATTCGGGTACACCACATAATTAGTGTCGTAGAACGGTTTCGCTTGACTCGGAGCACCTGCCACGAAAATCTTTGCAACTTGCGATATACTTCCCTCTCTCGTTTCCCTTGTCTTTCGGTGAAACTCTTTTCTCCCACACGGGATATACATCTGACATACAAAATGCTGCACACTTTCAAGAAGCATCCCTGCTAATCATAGGGATAAATCCGAAACAGTACGGGAAGAGCGATGGCTGACGACGTGGCCTTTCAGCACCAATTAAAACGTTAACTAAACGACAATAAATATATTAGTAGACAGATGAAGGTATCTTCGCGAGAACGTGAAGAGAGAATGCAGCATCAATTAAATTTAAGTTAATTATCAAAGAGTCGGGAAAAGAGTGGAATAATTATTGAAGATTTACCTTGAAGAAGTTTTCCTACAGCATCATCTAATGGATTAACTTCACAATGACTTGATGGTCCTGGTTTACTATCCATGGGAGATGCAGCACTACCTTCATAAGCATCCATTGTTCAATTCATTGAAATCACTTCGGATTAAAAAAATAGGACGAATATTGTGTACCCTCATGGGGATCAAGTTCATTCCTATCCGCGGATAATTCACTTTTGAGATGATTTGAGATGAGCCCAATGCATCAGATACTAGACACTTGATTAATCATTTCGGCTTTTCAATACCAACATTTCAATATCCATAACATAATGCTGGATAATAATCAATTGAAGAGAACTTTTTACGTCAGTGGGTGATGAAAAAATAATAGAATGAAATACTTTACACCTGGGGATGGTGAATTCGGGGAGTCACGCGACGTACTGAGTAAATTGGTACGGTGAGAGTCGTTGTATTTGGACGATTGTCCCAACCCCCCAACAACATTTGTGGATGAAAAATAAAATAAGATATGGATGCACGAGGGAATGGCAGTAGATGGACCACTCGTTGCAGTGGACGTGAGATGGTAGAGATGATGGAGGCGTTTCTGTAAACCCGCCACCTCTCTCTTGTCTCTTTGCCAATGAGGTGGGGGTAAAGTTCTCCTCACCGCAAACGTTCATGGGTCCATTCTACGCATTTTTACATCACTAATACCAATTTATCACTTGTACTATTGCATTTGGGGTAGAAACTTGTCCCGTTGTATTTGCGCCCACGTTCCCATTTATTTTAGGTGCCCCTTATTCCCGTGGATGCTACTCCCAAAAATCCAGGGACTTGAGTTCTCACCTTTAAATTCATCAGCACCGGTGCTAATTCCAAATTCATTTTTATAAAAATCCCAATAAACCATACCTCGGAGAAAAATTGCTCCTGAGAGGTATTGCCGGAAATTTTTAATCAATCCATTTTTCGAAAGTTGCAGAAATAGTTGCAAACCAAGAATAAGTTCACATGCTCAAGGTATATTGAAATTACCCGGGGAATTACACGTTTGTTAAAGAATTTTTTAATTAATTAATAGATTATCGTATACACATGAATTCGATGGATTAAACATTTCGCAGTAATTTCGCCTCAACTTACATATTATTTTTTTGTGTACTAGATGAAAGAATATAATTAATTAAACTTTCAAGATTTGACACCGATCTCGATTTAATTTCCCCGACTTGGGAATTAATTCGCCCGGATATCTTTGGATTTGAAAAAAAAAATCTGTCGATTCAATAATGAAGCTATTTTGGTATCTGCATCAATACGTAAAAAATGGTCTGAAAAAAGGGCTCCGAGCGTAAATCATACTACAATTTCAGGAATTCTACGGTATTCGATACGATTCGTTGACGAAGAACGAAGCTCTATTGACTGAGCGAAGCTCGCATGTCTCCACACGTCTCAACGTTTCAACACTGTAGCGCCTAATTATACAACAAATTTAATGAATGAGCGAACTAGCAGAGACAGTGCACCATAGATGTGCATATATAAACCACGGTCAATGCCGTGTAGCGACTTTTGTCGTACACTAGATCAAAGAGACTGCTGAGCAACTTGAAAATTTTTAATCCTCACAGAACAAACAAGAAATAAAAATTGTTTCTCTTCTGGGATTGGAACCTTGAATATTGGATTTCTTCCTCAAAATCGAGAAGCCGAACTCTTCGATAGTTTCAAATTTAGCCATACGCATACAGTTGAACAATAATATTGATTTCGAAGGCAGGATTTTACTCTTTACCCAGTAAACATTGACGCACGTGGCAGCAGTATGCGCGTTTCTTCCCCTTCAATTGAATTTTGCAACAAAAATGAAATTTACCTCACACTCACATTTGAATACAATTCATCATTTATCCGTATGCAACATTTTCAAATTGAATAAAAAATCTCTGCATATTAAATCAGCGTGCATTATAGTAATTTGTACCATTCTGATATTTATATAAATACAACAAAAAATATATTCTCAAAAAAATTTCCAGGATTTTTTCTCAGAACGATATCACTCTCACGTTATTAGTTATAAATTTGTCTGTACGTTTTAGAAAAGGCGGTTTATGTAGTTCTTGTGTATGAGATAGAGAAGTTGCTCTAAGACTTTCGAAGATGAAAGTACAATAAAATAAAGAGAAAATACATAATGATTAGGGCAATTCCACACGAAGTTGGTCGGGTACTTGAAAGGCTAGCCAGGGGCAACCGACACATGTAAGCCCCACGGGAGGTGGACCCCGCAAGTCGGACCCCCAAGAGAGCCAAAAGGCCTCAGACAAATTCTGCATCGTCATTGGCCACAGACGTCGTGACGCGTGCTCTTTTATACCCTCGCTATCTAACATTTAATTTATTCCACCTCTTCCATCTCAATAACATGGAAATTCACAACAAAGTAGTAGCAACTAATCTCATTATAATTCACTAATCAGCAGCGCTAAATTACCAATTAATTTATCACTCTTTAACAATGCATCAAAAGACATTAACATTCATCAAATATTTATCGCATCTTTTTGGTGAACTTTATATTAATATAGTCGAAATTCTTTTTTTTTTATGTTGAAGTCAAATAGAAGAATAATAAAAAAAAGTTCGAGTCGTGGCCGTAAAATCGAGGAAAAAATTGAGACAGCTCAACACAAATCTTGCCAGATGGGAGATTCTAAGCGGCACAGAGTTAAGTCCGAAAAAAAAAGAAACTCATCAGTCGTCGTTTTTTTCAGAAAGGTGATTTTCAAAATATGACACATTACGGTGACTACGACACGTGAATCTTGGGAAGACTCGATTTTTGAGGACCGTTTTTTGCGATTGAAAAGATTCGGTTTTATTGAGGAAGTGGGACAAGTAAGGTGGGTCCTTGAGAATGTTGGTAAAGAATACATAAATGTACATAAAAAGACTCACGGGGAAGAGTGGTATAAATCAAAGATACGTGAGAATTTTCAGTATTTGTAGTTCACGAAAAATTTAGAATAAAAAAAACAGTCGGCAAAATCTGACTTCCCGCCTTCAAATCCTTCCAATTGACTATATAAAGGGACAAACAATAACAATTGAGTCTGACAAATTGATGAGATGCTTATTTGCACGCTTCGCGCATTTTTTTTCCGACCTTGTACTGAAAGCAGCCATTTCTTCACTCGTGTGGTAAAACCTACTTTTTCGTGAGGGAAATCACAAAGTGTTATCAACCTCATGTGATTGTAATCGCCGCCGTCTTCTCCGCAAAATCACTTTCCCGCACCGGGAGTAGATTTTGCGCACGCGGAGCGTAAAATGTTACTTTACCCACCGTGTGCAAAAATGTACGATTTCGTGAGGGGAATTGACTTGGGATTTTTTCGAGTGACGAAGTCGGGGATTTGGCGAGCTGAGAAGAGAGTGGTACAACCGGGCACAAGAAAGACTACCCGCCAATGGCGGTGCGAGGCGTAGGTGGGAGAACGGGTGGTAAACGCGCGCAAAACTCGTCGGTAATTCCCGAGTGGGAGGTAACATTAAACAACTCCGATTGGTCATCCTACTGGAGGACATCGTATCCATGGGAACCCATGAGCCTGATGTAGACGATTACTCTCACGTATATATTTCCAACAGCATATATAAATGGTCACATATGCATGCTGTAAAATTGCCCAGTGGAGGGGGTAACTAACGAGAAGAGGGGGTTGAGGATGGTACGAAGATAGACATGAACCAGAGTCGGTGAATTTCTTATTCGTAACTCCCAAATCACCGACCTCATTAATATTTGAAACATTAATCATTTCAGACATTAACTTCAGACCTTTTAATTTATAATAAATATTTCATTTGCCAAGTATAAACAAAAAAAAAAGGTTTTTATTACCCCGGTGGCTTGGATTGTTGCACGGTTGTTTTGCTTTGGCCATTCTTTTCAAAATTTTTTATTTGTTTTTATTTTTTCTTGGAAAAAAAAATTTATTCTCCTCCTGTCGATAGATTTCTTTGAATATAAAAAATGGCTGAAATTAATTTTCCAAAGTGTGGAAAAGTGGGAAAAATTCTCTGGTATTTAAACATGTAATGGTGGTGGAAAGAGCCATGTATTGATGGTTTCGGTTTCCATGTGTTCCTTCATGGTATATTATAGCATATACTAAACGACACTTGTTGCTCGGTATATGCTCCGCCTCCCTACATCTACTCGAAAAACTGAGAACGCGTGGTGGAAACTGCCCCGAGGCAATCCAGCCACCTCACTCCAGCTCCGATCGTGCTCCGACACCAACCACTTTGTCCAAACACTCCTCCATGGGTATTTTGACATTTCAGTTGGCAATCAATTACCCTCAGTAATTCCCCTCCGCTTATCGATAATTACATCTAAAAAATGACCCATTAGCATTGAATTTTTCACCTTCTGGAGTGATTATCTAAAGCTAAACTCCGTGAAAACTAGTGGATTTCGTTTCTTAACATAATCACCTGTTGATTCAGTGAAAAATCAGTGTGTTCAGTGCTTAGACGTTTTTTTTTTTTCAATAATTCTGTGCGCTCCTGTCCAAGTGCATTAATAGACTCGCTTGTAAATTTTCCCAGTGAAGAAGAGAGGAGATAAGATTTGTTGCTCATTTATTATACAGATAGTCAGAGACAAAGACACTTGGGGGGAAAACTCAGTCTCAGTTCCCTCAAGTGCAATGACAATAAGTGGTTAGAATAATTCCACTGATTTTATAAAATCCGTGTTACGAAGTTTGGAGCGTAATTGAATCGTGAAATTTTGAGAAGAAGATGAATGTCATTATGGGAGAGTCCTCAGGATTGATCGCCTCGGGTATTAATGACACTGGTGTTAATAATAACAACAACAATATCACAATGAAAAATGGTGGAAGCAGCGGTAATTCACCAGCCAATATTGATGCGGCTGGTGGCGAGGGAATCAGCGCTGCCGTGGCTAAAGTTCTTCAGGGCTATAACTGGACATTAGTTCCCGTTGCTACCAAGTACGTATTCCATAATAAATTACGAAAAAAATTCACCCAATTACCGTTATAAAGTACCAATCAGAGGGACGAGGACGGAGAAATCGTTCACACCAATATATAAAATATATGCAGATCCTTTCGTCCAGTTCACTTCACTTCACTCGCCGAAAGACAAAAAGTGAAATTGAACACTCATACGCGTCTTCTAATTTATTGAGTCTTTTCTATATTGTCCATTTTTTATTTCATCTCCTATGGACAACACCCATAATTTGTGCATTCCTGAATTGAAAGGTGCGAAACCTGTTGAAGTGCGTGGAGTAGGAAGTTGGTGTTGAAAAAAGGAAAAAAAAAATATTAAGAAGAAAAAAATAACACAGATGTATAAATGTGCGCATCGCTAACTCAATTATGACGCACTCGTTTCCCTGGCCTGGGAAACGCCCGTGGAAAAATGTCCTCGGTTACCAATTAACGCCAATTAGCTAATTAATACCCGATCGTCGTTGAGTTTCGTTGCGCGTGGAAGTTGCTGCAAAGTGGTTGATAAAAGGCGTGGCACTATTATTCATTATCCTCCAAAAACAATCACACATCAATTCTCACCCGCAACACAAAGACAGTTCAACTAAACTTCCAAATTTATCAAAGAAGTCGCATAAAGACAGAATTAATCTTTTAACCATAGAAATTAATTTTCTAATTGCTCATTAAATTCAATTTTATAAGCACTAAGAATTATCTGTTAGATAAAACTCGAGGATTTCGAGGAATTAATCTTCATTTAAATACCATCAAACTCATGAAATCAAAGCTGGATGCATCGATGTGAGGCTCTTATCAACCTCATTCAACCCTCCGGCCGAAGGTTATCATAAAGCCAAAGTAAAGGGTACACTCAACCCCCTTTTCCAGATTACCGTATCACTGATAAAATCGTTATAAAACACTGATGTCCATGGGAATGTAAAAAATCCTCGGCAATCGTTCGCTCCCATCAACTGATAACGCTGTACTCAAAATTCTCCAGTGGACTGTTGATATGTGGTGTGACGGTGAATAGTAGAAAAATAGTTGAAATGTTTTTTTGTGCATATTTGGATAAGAGGAGAGGTGAGGAGATAGTGAGAGACGCGTCGTCAGAGCCGCGTGAAGGACCTCGTTAGTGAGCCCTCGCTAATTATCAGCGGCACCATCGTTTACCAATGGATTTAACACTCCCAGATCAGCCAAAAAATCTAAGTTGCATTTGTTTGGTGTAACTACTTCTTCCATTACTTTCTCTGTCACATTCTACACAAATAATCATCGATCTAACAATATGCTGTAGATATCCAGTATTTAATTTTCATTTCTAACTCTATTGATTTCACAAGTCTCAATTTTAGTCTCTACTGATGATTTCCCTCGACGGGAGAACAATAGGATTACGTGATTTTGAGTGGATACACTTTGAACTTTTTAAGAAGTCATCTTCTCAGAAAGAAAAGAGCCTGATATTATTTTAGCCCCCTCCACTCAAAACCCGATCCACCGTTATCCAGTCATGATTTAAAGCGAGTCACCCTCTTTGCTTCTCAAAAAATAGAATAAAAAAAGCTGGAGATTTTTTTTCTAGGCTATTCATGGTAGGCGGTTCGAATTTTGTAAAAATGATGGATTTTTCCATGTTAAAACAAATAAAATTATTAGAAAATCAGCAATTACATAAATAAAACACGGTCATGCCCGAAAAATGATGTGGAATTTCATGAAGGAATTTAAATACTCACCTGATTGCCATTTAATTTTCCGGTTAGGTAGCGTAAAAATGGCGCCAACTCAACAGGCACCGACTGTGTTTAGCGTTTGTAAAATTTTCGTGGGTAAATTATTGAATCAATTGAATAATTGAAGTTAATGATTTTCTTGCAGAGGTACAGACAAAAGAACAGCTCACGTAAAGAGACCAATGAATGCCTTCATGGTTTGGGCACAAGCAGCAAGAAGAAAGTTAGCTGATCAATATCCTCAACTGCACAACGCAGAATTGTCAAAAACCCTGGGAACATTGTGGAGGTGAGTTCAATCCAAATGTATTATTCTCCTCAAACTACCGAAATCCTTATCAAACACTTCAAGATCAGTGGAATATAAAGGCTAATGATATCATGATTGCACGTGTCTTCGATCAGAGCCCCTTCCACTTATTCGAATCAGATGAATCTGACGATTGCACACGCAGTACTGAAAAAGAGTCGGATGGCTGGATGAGGCCTCTCAAGCGCAAAGTTCAGAAACCATCTTCTCTCGAATCGTCTTACGCGCAATTGCAGACCTCCCATCTTCACCATTCGGCCCAGCAAAAACTCTGAAAATCCAACCATTTGTAAACACCATTCCTCTCATCTCCATTTTGCAGACCTGCTTTTTAAAAATTTTCTTCATGACTATCGAAATTTAATTGAATGGCAGATAAAAGCACCGAGACATTGAAAAAATGATTTTAATAGAGAAACGAATGAATGAATACTAAGGATTGAAGATTGTTGGGAGCATGGGGCTGAAAACCCGATGATTTCATTCTCCGGTCATGTGAAGAGGGAAGAGACTAACGAGAAGTCTCATGGGACATCATACGTCCCGCCGACAGGATAACCCGCTGTGCATCATTTCATGATCCGATCGATCGATTCTCTTGATCTGATCGATTGTCCAGATCGATATGGCACGATTACACCGAGTAAAAATATATAATAAATATAATAGTGAAATAGGTTGCAAACCACAATTGTCATTAGGGCTCACGAAGAGATCTCAATAATTTCCAACTCCAAAAACCGGAGATATCAAGTCGAAACGTGAAATAAGAGAAAATATCTCGGGTTGGCTCCTGTGTAATAATTTAACACCTCTCGAAATGCGCCTAAGCGCCAATTAGCGCCTCCGAGTCAAACACGAAAGATATTTTAGTGAATTCGATGAGCATCTCGCTGAATATAAAATTTAATTTATGAAAAGAAAAGTAAATGCATTTCTCCTCTCGAATTTTTCCTCTTGCCTCTTGCCTCTTGCCTCGATTGATTGAAATAGTTTTAATTTTCCAGTTTTTTTTACAACTTAATCCGCAACTTTTGGTAATTTTTTTTTTGTGTTTGATGATTGATTGGAAGATTTATCCTATTTTTATTCATTTTTATGACGCTTTCCCTGAATCTTGCGCCCCAAAGTGATATGTCTCTCGTTGATACTATTCTTTGTTTGCCATGAAGAAACAAATATATCATCGGTTCACTCTTGGCGCGTGCTCGCAGCTGCCGTTACGAGTTGTCACATTGATAAGACCCACAAGGATACCACAATAAGCTCCTTGTCCCTGTCAGGTGAATTTTTCCAGTGGTTGCTACGACCCCCTCATCTCACCGCCAACGCATCGACCGAAAAATCACCAGCAGAAAATATTCCAAAGCAACAGGTAGTGCCAGCCCTCCTCGCAAATCTATGCGAATAATTCCAACGAATATTCCCTGAAATTGCTGATAAATATCTGTGAACTTCAACATCAACTAGTCCCATCTGATATCCACAAATAGTTTTGTAGCTACAGATGATCAAAATTAGTTGACCCCCGCGACATGGATCATCTGGCGTGGAAAGAAATGTGGCTGCTATCGAAGGTCTCTCACAAGTAACAAGAAGCAAAAAAATCTCAACTCAAAGTCCATTGACCAGATGGTCTCGCTTTTTTGAGTTCCCTTCGGCCTCTTCAATTTCAAATAAAAAGAATTTTTATTTCACTCCATAGACCTAGTACCCCTCGATAATACCTCACTAGATAGTTCAATCACCTGTTGGTCAAAAGTAAATAAACCCGATTGAAAGAGAAAACACCAACTTGTCACAACAAATAGTAAACAAAAATAATGAAGTGCTAATAAAATTCAACTTATTCAATTGATAAAATGCGAACAGACGAGGGCCAGTGAGAATGACGATGGCATGCCTCTTCCATAATTTTTTTTTTTTTCACCTCTCTCCCCTTGATAAAACCGGAAAAGCTTATCGGATAGTGGCAAGTAGGGGGCCAGTGGGAACATAAACACGGCGTAAAAGACATAGAGTGCAAGTGAACCACGTCACTCTTTGCGGCTTCAAGTAGACACTGTGGGTTCTGGGTGCCCTTACATTAACCAGACGTGTAACCCTCTCGTTGATCTCTGTTTCACGCACTACTCGAGGGTATTGAAGACTGATTACGTGTTTAAATTGAAAAATTATTTATCACATCCCACCATCTTCCATTTTCACTCAAGCCCTGTGAACGATCATGAATCCCCAACAATTATCCAAATAATATTTTTTCATTGATGTAAAAAAAAAACTGTTACCTCTTCAATTATTCAAACTCGAAGATGAATAATAATGATTTGTAAAAAATTGTAAAAAGTAAAAGGACGAATGGGGTGGGGACCCGGAAATTCAGCAATTTGAGAACAATTTGCACATACGTTTCTTCCCTAATAATTACTCGTTTGTTGTAAAGATGGTGTATAAATAAAAGTCCATGATGTTGTTATCCGCAGAAAATTATCGGATGACGACAAAAAACCCTTCATCGAAGAGGCTGACAGACTTCGCGTGATTCACAAACGCGAACACCCGGATTACAAGTATCAGCCACGACGCAGGAAGCAGAATGGAGCATCATCTGGACTTGAAAATCCACCAGTGCGGAATCAGAGTAACGTGGCCTTCAATGTTTCAAATTCTCTTAAACAAGAAGATCTGAGTCCGCGTGGTAACCAAGGACCTGCATCACCTCAGAGTCGAGTAAGTTCTTCGCCTCCCACGACGCCGAATCAGGGCTTGTCGCCTCCTACACCACCAACAACGCCTCGAGGGCACCACATTTTTAATCAGGTGAGGCATTAAACAGATCCCACTCGAATCTGCAACGTCAATCACGCACGTCACGTGTGGTCCAATTTTCCATTCCATTGATCAATAATTTGGCGTTTCAGGCGCACCAGCATCAGCAGAACATCATGTACCATCAGGATTTATCAGCATCTTCGGTGTCTGACTCTTCTCAGCACCACGGCAGTGTCGATTTTAATAGATATATCGAGGGCAGTGAGCAAATCCAAGTGGAGGATGGACCAATGAGCAGTCTGGGGGCACTTGGTGGTGTTAATCTTAATATTCCATTGAATCTTCAAGAGTGTGAGGTAGAAAGCAGTGAGTTGGATCAGTATCTTCCCTGTCATACGTTATCTGTTCATCAGTATCAAAACATGAATTCGAATAATTCTTCGCCATCGTGGGGATCAGTCACTCGGTAAGATCTACATTTAGCACGTTTACCCTTTTCAATTGAATTTAATGTCTTTGGAATATCAATATTCTAATCATTTACCATGAGAATTCCCAATTTTATTGTCTTATCACTCTTTTAATAATAATTAAAAGGATAATTTTCGTTTTTTTTTTGTGTTGATTCAGATACGAAGAGGATGTGGAGAGATCCAGTAAGAGACACTGCAGCGAATCAACCCTCTCCGAGCTATCGTGGGAGGATCGATCACACGATATGATCCGATATCACGAGCTGCAGCCGCCATTACCACCAGTTCAATACATATCCGGCCCTCATCACTCTCATCACACTCAAATGAGCCACACCCATGTGAGCAATCCTTACGTACAATACACTGCCCATCGTTATGTACCGGGTATCGAATCCTGGACGAACTATCACTGAACACCAATAAAATCAACACGAGTTCAAACTCCATAGATTCTAAACTTGAAGAGATAGCCAAATACAATGTAATGAATTTTCAATTACAGTGATTAAAATTAGTCTAGTGATAATACGAAAAAAAAAAAAACTAATGGCGGAGGAGAAAAAATTGATACGTATAAATAAACTGTCGGTACGTGTGTGTTTGTGGGGCTGAGTGAGAAACGTGATTGAAAATATATGATTAAAAATGAGATTTTTCTCCAAGCGCCATTAGACACCATGACATCATTCCATGACAGATCCCCTTTTACGCCATTCCAAAGCACTGTCCAGTAAAACCAACAGGAGACGCATGCATATACTCTTAGAGATTCAGTGACAAAATATGAACGGAAATGAAAGAAGTGCGTTAAGTGCAATCTCTATTGTAGTCGAGGTTCTCCGATAAACAGATCTTCATCCAGGTCGGTTAGAAGTTAATTAAAATTCACCGAATGAACTTCAAATTAATTTAAAAATATAAATGAGAAAGGCGTCAATCGCTATGAGTTAGACATCACTTTTTGTGCATAATAATCGTTTAAGGAATATGAGAATCTATCAACAGCTTTTTCGTAGTTAGATATTTATTTAGGAGATATCGTAATTTTTTTTATTATTATTGATATGTGTATTTTAATGATGAAATAAAAATAATCGTGATACCAAATCCTTTCTCTCGTTGCCTGATATTATTCTTATTCAGTTGCATTTCTTTTTTTTGGGGGAAACATTATGATAGGGAGGAAAGGAACACTTTCCCTTTCTTCTCTTGTCGTCAAGTGTTGTCAAATGTCGTCAAATGTCGTCAAATGTCGTCAAATGTTGATGGACCATGTTGGTTTTGCAATTTTGAATAAACACATGAAACTCTTATCGAAATCTGTACACAAGGAACGTGGGAATGTCGCGTCTTTTATACCGTGCATTCGCATTTTCAAGATTAAACGGCTAAGATATATATCTCATGCATTACAACGATATTTCTCAGATGGTAAATTGTATTAGTGAAACACAGATATTCCCAGAACGAATGATGAGCACGTGGGGTTTTTAGAGTACGCATGTCGTTTAATAGCGCGAAACGATCTCTCAGATTTTTGGATCCTCTTGGCGCCTCTCAATGACAGTTGCTGAGAAGAAAAA